TCAGACCAAATAGAATACCTAAGCTTAGTTTTTACCTTGTCAACACTCAAGACCACTAGAGCGGCTGGCTTATCCAACTGTAGTAGTTCGTATAAGCATAAAAGTTGTTGCATATGAAGAGAAATCAAAACTAGAAAAAACCATTTTGACTCGATGGACATTCTAAACTACTTGGAATTGGGATGCTTCTTTGGATTCAATGCTCATGCTCGAGGCACCACTCTCGAGAATAAACCGGTTAGTCTAGCATGGTAAAAAACAATCTACTTCATTTAGGTTGAAAGAAACAATTGAATATCTTGATAGCAGTTTTGATCTGTCGAATCGATTGTCTCTTAATTCGGTATGACGATTTTGAACAAAGTATTGAGCTTCATAGATGTCAATCAAGCACTAGTGTTAGCTTTTCTCATAATATGGGTTTCCGGTCTTTTCATTTTGCAAGATTATGAAACCACATTCGTTTTTCATCCTCTGACAACGTCTTCTCCTCGTAATATTTCTCTCGATTGCTTTACACTAATTTTGGGATTCAATTAAAGTTTGTATTTTAGTAAAATAGAAATTGCTATTTTTTGCTCTATATATGGAAGAAAAAAGTAGAGAAATGCTATATTTGACACTAAAACATAAACTAGAAGAAAAAATATCATCCTTTATATATTAAAGGAGAATCATTTTTGGATTAATTTGCTTAGGTGTCAAGCTCTCAATTTTTTGAAGTTTTTAATTAAGAATTAAATCCTATTCCCTTCCTATTAAAAGAGAAGTAGATTTATTAAGTTTGCTTATGTGTTTTAATTTCATTAGTTCAAAAAGATGACATGGCTTGTCAAAAAATGTGACATGGCTTAAATTTGAACTAATTAATTAAAATAATAACCTAAAAAATTGGAACAAAAAAATTGGGATTTTTAATTGGAACAAAAAAAACTCCTAAATAATCTCCAATTGCAATGTTTTTTTTATTATGACCATATCAAATTCTAATCTTAAAGCAATATAAACGATCGTATTTTTAATTTTTGAAAATCTATTTACAAACTTTTCATTTTTCCCCAAATAATTTATAATATTTTACTGCATTAACTCCAAACATA